GTTGGGGGCGGGGGGTGTGGCCTTATGACACACTTCCGGTGATGTCAGGGGGTGTGGCATATGCTAATGAGTTATGCTAATGAGTTCCCCTAGCTCTTTTTCTATGAAACGACCCCTGTATGCCACCTAGAAGCGTTTGCTCCCAGGCCCAATGGCGCGCGGGGGAACTCCCGCAATTGGGCCTCAGTTGTTTGAATGTACTATAACCTGCCATGCTTGTTGCTCCCCGCTCATTCCTAATAGTGATCCTGTACATGCACCTATAGCTTCAAATAAAAGTAAAACCTTCCTGCAAGAGTGTACTTCATTGATGCTGTGGGGAAGCCTGACACAATGGTGGTACAACTGTGATAAAGTGCATATGCAAACATACATGCAGTGGTAAGTTCCACTATTGGCGGACTCAGGCTGGAAATAATATTGGCACAGGGCATAGATGGTGAAATCCAGTTCCTTACCTAAATGCTTGGCGGAAGAGCTCCGTTTTTGTGGCCCTGTGAAACTGTGAAAGGTCCCGCAGGGCCCTGATTTCTTCCGGAAGCTCATTCCACCAAGTTGGAGCTGCCACAAAAAGAGCCCCGGTCCTGGTCGATGCCAGTCTGGCGTCCTTAGGGCCAGGGAGGGCCAGACGATTTTGCGACCCGGACCGCAGTGCTCTCTGGGGGACATGTGGGGAAAGGCGGTCCCTCAGGCAGGTAGGTCCCTGACCATGAAGGGACCATAAAGTAATCACTGGTGGGATTCTCTTTCCACTGTATCTTTCTGTATCACTATCCATGAACTGTCCAAAAAGTTGCTCCAAATTAGGAAGGGGCTGCTGTTTGGATCAATTTAGGTCCTTGCACCTACTATTACGCGCCTGGTAACGCAAAGAGATTTAAGAGGCAGCGTTAGTGAGAGTGAGACCAATTCCATTTCTCTCTCTTGCTTGCTGAAAGCATGATAGCTAAAATAGATTTAACTCTCCACAGGGGAGTGCAGTGAGACCATAAATAAGCACTACAAATGATGCTGTTCATCAATATTTTAAAAATCGGCTCCCGAAAGTCACAGTGCGCCGCATCACAGATGGCAGAGATCCCACGGAAATTTGTTTAGACCGAGTCCCGTTAATCCCTGAGCTGAATAATCCCTGAGCTAGCCCGCTTTTTTCCGATCTCAAAAGTTTAGCTGGGTTGACCTGGTACTTCGATGGGAGACTGCCAGGGCTTTTTTTGCAGAAAAATCCAAGCAGGAGCTCATTAGCATAATAGGCCACACCCAACAGCAGAAACTCATTAGCATATCAGGCCACACCCCTGACAAGCACGACTCATTAGCATATTAGGCTGCACCCCCATGTTACCAGAAGTGTGGTCATCCAGCCACACCCACCTTTTGCTTCTTATTCTGTTTACCTTGTTTGTTGTCAAAACCCGGAGCTTTTTTGGTAGCAGGAACTCCTTTGCATGTTAGGCCACACACCCCGAATGTAGTCAATCCTAAGGAGTTTCTGCTGTTGGGTGTGGCCTGTTATGCTAATGAGTTCCTGCTGGGCGTGGCCAACTTGGGAACCAGCCGGAACTCCGTTCCTGTGCGTTCCTGCCCAAAAATAGCCCTGGAGACCGCCAAGGAAGACCATGGTTGCTACACCGAGTCAGGCAATGGCAAATCCCCTTCTGAACATCTCTTGCATTGAACACTCTATGGGGCCGCCATAAGTCGATTAGGACTTGACGGGACTTTCTACCACCAAGTCCCATTAAAAGTGGTGGGGCTTAAATTTGCCATAAGTTATTTTATTAATTAATTAATTACATTTATATCCCGCCCTCCCATCCATGGCCGGCTCAGGGCAGCTTAAAAGGTAAAGGTTCCCTTGCTCGAAAGCCAGTCGAGTCCGACTCTAGGGTTGCGGTGCTCATCTCCGTTTCCAAGCCGAAGAGCCAGCGCTGTCCGAAGACTTCTCTGTGGTCATGTGGCCAGCATGACTAAACGCCAAGGCACACTGAACTCTGTTGCCTTCCCACCGAAGCAGTACCTATTTATCTACTTGGAATTTCTTGCTTTCGAACTGCTAGGTTGGCAGGAGCTGGGGCCAGAGACGGGAGCTCACTCCGTCATGCGGCACACTCGGGTCTCGAACTGCTGAACGACCGACCTTTCACAGCCTGCAGTTCAGCGTCTTAACCCCTTGAGCCACCGCAGCTCCGCATCAGGGCAGCTTACAACAGGATAAAAACAACAATAAATAGTATAGTGATCATAAAACCATATAACACGTGCTGCATTGGTTTCAGGGAATTTTAGTCGTCAGTAACTTTAATTGGTTTGGGGCCATGGCATTCTGTTTCAGTGTTTAAAAGAAACTGAAGTGCGAGGGGATGTTGGATCTCCACAACAGAAGCGGAAGAAGAGGCTCCACTTGTTTCAGAGGAAGTGGCTTCCCAGTTGGTGTGCTGAAGTCGGCTGCTTTGGGCCTCCTTTCCGTGTATTTGGTTTTGGGGGTTTTTTTGCTGCATAGAGGATGCTTATTGAAACTCTGGTGTCTAATATTATCCCTTCAGGAAGAAAATGTGAAAACGGTCCTGATGAACCCCAATATTGCTTCAGTTCAGACCAACGAAGTCGGCTTGAAGCAGGCGGACACAGTTTATTTCCTCCCCATCACCCCCCATTTTGTTACAGAGGTCATCAGGGCAGAGCGGCCAGACGGTCTCATTCTTGGTATGGGTGGGCAGACGGCTCTCAATTGTGGTAAGTCCTTGTAGGAATAGTCTTTTCTTCACTGATGGACCCTAGATTACCCAGTGCATTTTAAGGGTGGTGGAAAGGGGGTCTTTCTCCGCATTCGGAAGAGGATCACTGACTCAGTAAACATGTACTTTGGGCCCCAGATCTGTGGACGATGATCTCTGCCACCCCTCTGCATATCACGCCTGCTACTGTCATTTGCCTGCTATTGTCACATTGGGCATCTGAATCACTCCACTCTCCGAGATAGAAGGACATCGGGCTTTCATTCTCGCTGCATTTGAAGAAGTGAGCAGGGACTCATGAAAGCTCCTCCCCTGCCCCGGATTTTGTTAGTCTTTCAGGTGCTCCTGGGCTCTGGCTCTTTTCTACTGCTACAGACGGACTAACACGGCGACCCATCTTGAACTACACCTGATCTCTATATACATCTCGATCTATATTCTTCAGATATCTGAAGAAGTGAGCAGTGACTCCCGAACGCTCGCACCGTAACACAAATTTTGTTAGTCTTTCAGGTGCTCCTCGACTCCTGCTCTTTTCTGCCGCTACAGACAAACTAACGGGTCTAACCATCTTGATCTTCCACATATTGTTTTATTTTCCCCCCCTCTCCTTTTATGCTGACAATGCCAAGTTAATTTTTTTTGGGGGGGGGTACAGGAGTGGAGCTGTTCAAGCGTGGCATCCTGCAGGAGTACGGAGTGAAGGTCCTTGGAACTTCCGTTGAGTCGATCATGGCCACAGAAGACCGCCAGCTCTTCTCCAACAAGCTAAATGAAATCAATGAGAAGATTGCCCCCAGCTTCGCTGTGGAATCGGTACATCACGCTAAACTTAAGCTAACCGTTCTGAATGAGTATAATTGTCCGCTATGCTGCCCTGGGGGTGGGGAGGTTGGTTGTATTCTAATTGCCAGTGCATTCCATCAGCGCTTCTTTGCTGCTGTAACGCTTATCTATAAGTTCTGCAGGTGGTGATGTTGATGTCTGACTTTCTCGGGGACCGTGGGAGAGAGTTGGTTCCCAGCTTCAGTGCTAAACGGCCGGAGCCCTTTCTCCCGCGCGTGGGACGGTGGCTAATTGGCCAGGGCAGTGTGTGGAGGGTGCATTTGTTGTTGTTGTTCAGTCGCACAGTCGAGTCCGACTCTTCGCGACCCCATGGACCAGATCACGCCAGGCCTTCCTGTCTTCCGCCGTCCTCTGAAGTTGGCTCAATTTCATGTTCGTTGCATCTATGACACTGTCTAACCATCTCATCCTTTGCCGTCCCGGTCTTCTTTGACCTTCAATCTTTCCCAGCATCAGGGTCTTCTCCAGTGAGTGCTCCCTTCTCATTGGGTGGCCAAAGTATTTGAGCTTCAGTTTCATTATCTGGCCTTCCAGGGAACAACCAGGGTTGATTTCTTTTAGGATTGACTGATTTGATCTTCTTGCAGTCCAAGGGACTCTCAAGAGTCTTCTCCAGCACCATAGTTCAAAAGAATCTATTCTTCGGCACTTGGGGGTGCATACGAATACCCTATATCCTATTATGCCCCATGGGTAACCGTCATTCTTAACAGTGCCTATGTTAATGCATCTATAGCTCTTCAATAAAGTATTACCTTTCCTGATAAGCGTGTACTACGTTGTTGGCTGTGGGTTCTGACAATAATAAAGCCTGGATGAAGCTGGTCTATGCCTTCCCAGCAGAGTCTCAGAGCAACGGCCACAAGCCTGTGAGATTGAGCCAAACCGTCTAGGAGCCCGTAATTATCTGAGCCTGCATGACATGTTACGCCATCTTGGTTAATAATCACTGAGTGCACTTTAATTGGACATCATTGATTGTTTAAATGTTTTAAATGTTTAACAGTGTCAGATGTTTTAAGTGTTAAATGTTTTGACTGTATATGAACCTTGGCACACTGTGCCAGGCAATGTGAGCCGCCCTGAGCCCGCTTGCGAGGAGGGCGGGTGATAAATACAATAAATAAATAAGTAATGCGGCTTGAAACATCTTGACCGATTTCCCACAAAATGCTGCCCTTTGCCCCAGTCGTACGTGTCAGTTTCACACTATGTGCTGCGCGGCTGCATTTTGCCCCGCAGCTTGGCCCGATTTCCCCCGCGTCTACTCAATCCTAGTTTTTTGAGGATTGAGTAGACACGGGGGAAATCGGGCAAAGCTGTGGGGCAAAATGTCGCCATGCAGCGCATAGTGTGAACTTGACACGTACAATCGGGGCAAAGGGAAGCACGAGCGCAGAGCAGCGGCTTGTGGGAAATCGGTCCTTATATTTTGATTCTGGATCGTCCCGATGAGTCTCGTAGCTGCAGCCAAATATAGAAATACGTGTAGTCCTCTTTGCTGTTATATTATCTGTGCTCTTTTCTTATAATAGGTAGACGATGCTTTGGAGGCAGCAGGAAAAATTGGCTATCCTGTCATGATACGCTCCGCTTATGCCCTGGGTGGACTTGGATCGGGTTTATGTCATGACAAGGAAGAACTGATGGATCTCGCTACCAAGGTATTGTTGTTGTTTATGTAGAGTATGGCCATAGAGGAACCATGGCCCAAGAGGTCAGGGGTCAGGCTGGGAAGTACTGCAGTCCCAACTGGCAATGGACCACAAGGTTCAGCCGCTGATCGCGTCTGGCATGTTGGGGGCAGGGCCACAATCAGAAAACTCTTATGGTTTTCCCTCAGATGATTGTGGCCCCGCCCCCAACATGCCCGACGTGATTGTGTCACTTCCGGGTTTACGTCACTTCCGGGTTTACGCGATTACATCACTCCCAGACCAGCACTGAACTCCCCCGCTCTTCTTGAGGTAAAGACTTGGCAACCCTGTTCTGAGGCCTGTGACGCTGTGAGGCCTCCTTCCATTTCTGGGACTGATGTGGTGTTGCAGGCAGGGTTTCCTGAGGGAATTTGTGGAGAGGAGTCATTGGTGACTGGAGATGTGGGCATGAGAGCCTCATTGGCTGCAGAAGATGGAGGCACCACCATTCTCTGGGAGGTTCTTCCTCCCCCTCCCCTGTAGAAATCTTTACCTCAGTGGCTGTTTCCTCCAGACGGTCTTGAGAAAATGCCTCCATCATCCTCAGGACCTCAAACGTTCTCTACTGGTATAGAAATCTGGGATACAGGACGTAAAAGTGGGCCAGAACATGTTCTATAGCCCAGATGCTGCCTTTCTGTCACGAGATCCAAAACCAGGGGTCATTTCCTGCGGGAGCGCACAGGAGCGGAGCTCCGGCAGTAAAGAGCCCAGGAGGCGGGCACATGCAACAAGCCCCACCCCCTGCTCCCAGCAGCCCTCAGTCAGAGCCGTACTTAAAAGATACCCACTTCAGTTTGAACTTGGCCTTGGAATAGGAGAGGGCTTTTTCCCTGGTATTCCTGGGTCCTTGTGGAAAGGAGTCAGGAGGACATGAGGTTCCACTTCTTTTATGGGCATAGTAATGCCATGACACTGTGGTTCAAGAACGTAGATTGCGGTTAGATTCAGGAAAGAAAACGTGGCCCATCTGGACATTTGGGTCACCAGAAATCACTTCAAGGTCAGTTGTTAATAAAATGACCTTCCTCCGCCATGGTATTTGGAGGAGCCCTTGTTTTTAGCATAGACCAGTCCCGTTATAGACCCTGGGTTTTATTTTTCCCAAGGGGGGGGGGAGATATCTTGATGCTCTCTAATGATCCACCTTCATTTTGCCTGCTATTGACTGGGGTAATGCGAATGATTAAAGTGATATTGGGTACGGCTAGAAATGGCTCCTAATTTGAGCAAATGGTCCTGCAATTTGGGTCAAAGAGAAATATAATAGCTTATATTTTCCATTGCTCTCAGAAACTAAAATTGGAGTTGTGGGTGGGAATGTCACAAAGTTTAGTCCCGCATTGGGCTGAGAGAGAGAGAGAGAGTAATCCCCCCATGAACCAACAGGATAAATCTCATGCTGAATCAAAAAAGATTCCAACAGGGTTTGGTCCTGAATGGTTCCTTCCTATTCAGTGATCCTTTGCAGTTTTCAGGAAACCTACCACTAAAAGATCTTTGGTACTCTCCTTAAAAACTGAAGGCATCTAGAGGCATCTAACTCCACCCTCTGTCCAAAAAGCTACAGTAAGCCAAAGTAAGATGGAGTTGTTTTCTGTTGCCCCAGAAGGTCGGACCCGAAGCAATGGGTTGAAATTAAATCAGAAAAGTTTTCAGCTAAACATTAGGAAGAACTTCCTGACAGTTAGAGCGGTT